GTGTAGCACGACAGACCAGGAAGTTGAGAAGCCTCCAACCAACTGACTTGATCACGCACCTCCCCTCTAGTTCACTGTGATGGGCTTTACCATCACCCCACGAGACCCCAGGCGGGTCTTCTAAGCGATGAATGGTGAAACAAAAAAGCACGTCGCCCCAAGTTGGAAGAAGAGATTTTCGCAACTTTTGCTCGAAAAAAGATACTATGATGAGATTGTCCCAAGGTGATGAGATCTTCCCTGCGCCTGTGACAAGGATCTTTGGAGAATACAAGGAAAGAACCAAGGATCCCGGGCAAGTGGACCTGTGTTTTGGTGGGGATATGTCTCGCAAGCTCCTCATAGAAAGAAACAACTAAACAACTACGTCCTGAGTATCTCGGTGGTCCGGTGAAGAAAAAAGAAAAGCCTCGTTCGACACCTCACGGTCGACGGTCGACATAAGCCCAGTATCCAAAGCCCAAAGGCGAGGCTTTCAAACCTGCTGCACGGTGCACAGTGCCCAGAAGGATCGATCAATGGCAGCTGTTCATTTGCATAAACCCCTGATTCGCTCTTCATTGCATTTCACCGCAAGTTTGCAGAAACGTCGGGCCACGTCACTTGCATTCCAGCAATCATTGAATTTCCCTGTCGGCTCTGTTTGTGCCATCAACGTCCATATTCAAGGTAAGGAAGCTACGTCGATAGGTAAGCCAGCCGGACACCAGATTGGTACTGGATCAATCGCAGGTTGAACGAGAACCGCTCAGCTTTAATTTCCCGATAAATCTCCGAACAAACCCCAAATGATGTGAGCAATGGTGCGGCTTTGCAGGTTCCCCTCTGATTTTGAGAGGCAAAATACTCTCCCAGGTCGGCGCCACTCCCTCGCCTGCGCCAAGGGTCACTTCCATGCTGGGCTGCGAGGGGTGTGCAGGTTGAAGCGAGTGGTGCTGTGAACTGTCCGCGAGCCAATGCTGCAGTCAAGTGCTTTCACGCTTCAAGATGGATCTCAAAGTTCGCACCGGTTGTTGCATCAAATTGTTGTATGGAGTTGTTCGGAAGGTGTCGATCTCTCTGCAAACAACTGCTATCAGCTCCACCTGTCAACCCCGTCAACTCCACCTCGCCTGGCACAAAGGGCCGATAGCGTTCCTTTTCGCCGCGGAGCTGCAAGAGGACCTCCCGACAGTCAGCTTGCTTTGAAGTCCGCTGGTGGAGTCTTTTTGGAAGACGGAGCGCACAGAGCACACAATGAAGGACCAGTTGTTTTGTGTAATGTTCAAGTTTAATTTGGTGCGGGTTTTGCTGGTTTAAGATGGGAAATATTTGTAGGTACAGTAGCGCTTCAAAGGTAGCGCTTCAAAGCGTAAAAATTGCCAGCAATTAGATTCCTGCCTGGTAAAACCGTTACGTAGCATGTCTGAAAGTCAATCCAGCCTGAGTGACTAAATCCTATCAACAGACCAGTGGCCGTTGGATCATCCTCCCATGAAATAATAGCCCGAGCAAACCGCAGGTGACAAGGGAAATGGGAAAAAACGAACGTCACCAACTCCTGAGTTGAGTCCAAGTTTTCATCTGGCAAAGAATCTGTCCTACATAAGTCTGGACCTCCTGTGCCAATAATGAAGGAACAAATAGCGCCTGCTGGCGGATGGCAGTGTGATGCTCCTCCACGGGCAGAACTTTGGGGTTCTCTGGCTGAGGCACTGCGTATCGTGGGAGAGACGCATGCCTGCCACCTTGATGACATACAGGTCATCCCAGGACCATCTTCCACTAAACAGATTGGAACAATCAGAACCATGAAATCGCCACATGAACCGGTTGAATCAGTGATTCGTGAACAAACTGCGTTTGGGCTGTTAGAAACAAACAGTTCGCTCAAGTCCCAAGGAGGTAGAGCTCCACCCCAGCGAACCGGCCCATTACATCCGGAACATCCCACTGACCTGAAGTTGCCAAAGGACCGAAACAGGGCTTGCCGCGGCGATTTTTTCAGGTCTGGACCTCACCCCTCTGCTCCTGACTGCCATAGAGCTGGTCCGACAATGCACGAAATTGGCAATTGCCGTCCTTAGGATCAAGTCATCCATGAAGGACCCCACACAGCACCCATTTGGAGATGTCTTTTCTCCTCAGAAACTTCCCGCATTGACTAGCAACCCAGAAAGAGTCCTGCGTTTGAAGGATTGAAATGATTGAACCAAGATTGTTGACTCCACCCTTCACGGACTATGGAACGATGCGATCTGCAAGGAGATGGAAAGTGGCAAAGTACTAGGTCTCAAAATCCCAGCATTGCCTCATTCTTTGTCAAAGCAGTTGCTGGTAGCTAAGTCTGTGCCCCAAGACTGAAGTCTTCTTTCACAAAGTCAAAGACGTCATGGAAACCACGGAAGTCCCATCTACCGCGAAGCCATCCGAAGACCGCGACGATCTTCGATACGACCCCTCTGGGCACCGCGACCCCCTCGACAGGACGCTCGCGAAGATTTTGCCTCGGCATGGCATGGATACGAAAGTTCCAGGACTCTCAACGGAATTCGACGATCTTCTCGCAACCGTGTTTCTCCACGGAACTTGGCCTCGTTTCGTCAAAAAGAACAAGCAATGAAAACACCACGCCAAGCCGCGCTCTCAACCTTTGGAGGAGCAGCTCATGTCTGGCGGCGGCCTGGCACGGAGCAGAACTGGGAGCCAATTGGACCAAAAAAGGCTCCAGAAGTCGCAGACCCCAGCTGCGAAGTCGCGGCCTGGCCTCTTGGTGGGCCCGCTCCGCCACAGGGACAGCAAGGACCTGGCCGAGGCGCTGGCACGTGTGACGGTCGCCCTGCCTCACTCAGAGGTGCAGACGCCAGGGTCCTAATGAGTCAATGAGTCATAAGTGGCTTGCGTAGAAATGACTCAGATGTGCTTCGCTCAGATGGTGATGCTACCAAGATTTCTCCGCCTTGACATGTCTCCAAGCAGTTCTTCTTAGAGCTCGAAGACGACCCCCCACAGCCCCACAAATCGCATCGGCCGCCTTCGGCTCGAGGGGCACTGCCTGGTGGAAAGGAAACGGCTCGGAGGACGGAAGGCTTTCATCAGTTCTGCTTCACAACGTTCATCGAAGACGGCTCTCACCAGACAGGGCGACAGCTGGCCACGCTGTTCGAGAACAAAGGTTCTCACAAACTGGTGTGTAGAGTTTGAGCAATGAATCATTGCAGGAGACTCAAATCTTCCTTGACGTCACGATGTTGGGAGAAATGCAACCTATCATGAGCTTGTGAGAGGGCATGAACATAAGTACATAAGAAAGCCAGAGATTTACAATCATTCTGAACTGCTCGTCAGTTCACGTCACACGCGAACGGGCTGAAGGCCTTCCAGAAAGATCCATAAGCTTGGTTCGAAGTGCTCGACCTTGTTTCGCAGGCAAATTGGCAATTTGGCGAACTTCTGGGTTTACCAACTGTTGATGTTGCTGACTTAAGAACCGGTGCGTTCACGCCAAAGCCAAAGAACTGGGACGGAAAAGATCTTTTGACAGGACTTCGAAAGATTTCATTCAACGTCCAAAATTTGCTGCACAGGAGTGGTGGAGCAGGAAAAACTAAAGGACACTGGGTTGTACAGAGGTATCCAAAATCTATTCAAGGTCTTTTTGACATACCACAGCCAAACAGCTTGAGTCGACCGAGAAAGCTGCACATGGTAAGTGAAACATAGTGAAACATAGTGAAACACTAACAATCCGAGAAAAGCACCGAGAGAAATCTTTCAAGAAAATGAGCCGTCCGGAGCACCGCTACCTTCGCTTCGCGTCCGATCGCTATCCCACCCCTCCAGTCAACCAACCGTCAACCCTCCTGACATCGGTTCTTCACAGGGAAACGCTTCGCCGTTTGTGGGTCGTTTTTGGTGATGGAAAGCGCACTGCCTTGTATGCATTCGGTTGAACTAACTGCACATCTCGCAGGATCGTGTTCGCATCCCAAAAAGTAAAAACCCAAGCACCTCTAAAGCCTCTTGGCCTGTCAGCCATTGTTTTGGCAGTTCCGTTTCGCACCCCACAGTTCTCTTCTGCCCTGCCCGTGCTGAAAAGCATGGCCCACCTCGAATCCGAGGCCATGGCACAGTCGCCCCACAGACACGCAGGGATCAAGAGCAAACCACTCCAGTCTTGAAAATATGATGTCTTGAATTATCTTCATATGCAATGTAGAGCTTGGAACAAATCAGTATAGAAATGTCAAACACCTTCAGGGAGTGTAGTAGACTCAGTGTAGACATGAGTGGGAGAATCCGTGTCGAAATCACACGCGTCACCGGTTGCCAATTGCTTCGCATCGCTTCGCACTGCTGCATCACTGTGCTAGATTTGGTGCGGCACCTCTTTAGGCTGCTGAAAGGCCACGCGAAGAGATGCCGGACTCCACACAAAAGGGTACGAAAAAGGCAGTAAGCCATAGTAAGCCCGTGCCAAGTCGATCCTTTGACGTTTTGGATTTCCCCGACCCGTTTGAGACAGGAGCAGGTCGGTCACCGCTGGACAAAGCGGGAGGTCGGACAGGGATTGACCCAGAGGTCCGGAACGTTGTCTGACCCAAAAACTCGTCCATGGAGTCCGTAGCGTCCTTTCTCGCTCCGTTCGTAGTACGGCCAGGAGCCCCTAGTAGCGTCCGATCGCTCCGTTCGGTTCGCGATGCCAGCAGCCCCTGTGTTTCAGGCGCCTGAGCCCTATGCATCTCCAACTCTTCCCACACCAATCATCATGTCTTCCAAGATCATCACTTGGCTCATTGATGATGTCTTGAGAAGAAAGGAGACCGCACCGTCATCCTTCACCACTTGGGCTTGGTTGCTTCTTCGAATTTCGAGATGCCTCCACTTGGCTTCCTTTCAGTCATACCTCACCTGGACTCTTGAAGCCATGCCATATGGCCATCGTCCCATCTACCACAACGACATCCTCTGCTGAACAGCGGACGGCAAACCCTCTAACCTCCAAGCATGCCAGCTGAGGCTTTGCAGTCGAGGACCGGCCCGAAGAGGGAAAACATGTCCTGGCAGATTGGGTCACAGATCAGGAAGTGTGTGAGGTCTTGTTCTCACCAAAGAAACAGGTCTCCCCATGAGTTTGATCAAATGAACCTCCTCGGGCAGGTCGAGTTGACATGTTCCAGGGTTGACATGTTCCTGGCCGTCTCAACCCAAGAAAGCCATAATGTCAAAAAATATCCATTGAATCATATTGAATCTGGCCGCTGTTGTTCTGGGCAGCCGAAGCCAATCTGCTGTCGCTAGCGCGACTCGCTCGGGACCTGGCGCTCGGATCGCTCAAGCAAGCTCGGATGGGTCGTGCGTCCTGCAAGCTCTGGGAGCTGATCTTCAAGTCCAAGCCCTGCGGATCAGCACAACGGCGGTCAACTTGGATGCATCAGCTGACTGGGACGGGACGTAGCTGAGTCATACTCAAGTGCTTTATATGGGTCATTAGGACAACTAAATATAGACAGTGACTAACATATACCTTGGGTGGACAAAAGTCACATAGCATCCGGCCTCTAGCTGCAAACGATGCCCCGTGTCCTGGCTATTGAATCAGATGCGGGTGAACCGGTCAGTTTTTTCGTCGACATGGGATGGTTGGGAATGCGAAAAGGATCCGAAAGCGGACAGTAGTGATAAGGCGGCACCTGTACATCCAAGCGGAATCGCTGGCATCTGTGATGAGCCAAAGTGATATCAAGACACAAGAGATTTGCAAGGTTCAAGGGATTTGATCTGGGGACTGGGATGTCCAAAAAGCCAGCAAGACCCTGAGGAATGGCTAGTTATGGGTAGTTCACCAGCCATGAAACCTACCTGACGCCTGCACCGCGGCCAGGTAAGATCGCAGCATAGGGCTTTGTGAAAAAAAAGATGAAAACAAAAACACTTTGAGTTTTCTGAGTACTGACTCCAGTAACCAGGAGGCTTTTCAACATGCTTGGAGCATCACCTTCCCACAGCCCTGCTCAACGGCTCTGCTGCGGTACAAACGCTGGGCCACCCTGCCATCGTCTTCCAAATAGCCTGGCATGGTTTCTTCACCATGCCAAGGACTTCATCGTCCAAGCTCTATCTACCAGCTCCAGCAACCCGGTGGCTCTTTCTGAAGAGTTTCTTCTGGTTTCGAAATATGTCTGTTTGCTGCTTCAACCTTTTTCAACATTCCAGAGTCCAGTCATCCTTCCAGTCCGTTTCTGGATGTCTTCTTGGATGCAAAAACTATCTTGACAAGTCGTGGCGGTTTCAGGGGAGAGCGCTGGAGGGCATAGGTCCCAAGCTATCGCCACGGCGAGTTGGCTAAGTCACCCTTAGGAGCTCATCCTACAATAGAACTTTTCAGTGTTGAACTACCCAGGGAAAGTGACTCTTGCCAACAAGGACTCCTTCAGCTGTCGTCCTACCACGCAGTCCTCCTATCGCAGTCGCACACCTCCACTTGGCTCCACAGCAGACATCTGCAGGTCTTCCCTGTCGTCTTGGGAAGACCAGGTGGATCCCATCGAGCATATTCCGAAGTTTGTTGAGGATATCCATCTAAGAAGATATACATTACATGTGTACATCACTACTGTTCAGAGTACTTCCCAGACTTCGCTCTGTGTACTCTCTCTCCCCTTTTTCGCTGGCACTCTCTGCAGTTGTGGTCTCTGCACGTCGCTCCGACGTTGTTGCGTTGGAAACTCACAAAGTGTGAGCAGTGTTCATAGCCACACATCCATTCCTGGATGCAGCTTAGATACCCATCTATGGAAACCCGTCCACCAAGACGTATCCATAGCGATGTATCTACCCAACCAGGGAACCCCCCTGGAATGAACACTAGACCTGACAACAGGTCGCCCTTAAAAGATACTTCCCAAGGCGGGGGAACCAACGTGGAGGGGTGGGCTGGGTGGGACAGAAACTCCACTGTCCCACTTTTGGCTTGAGCCAAAATGGACAGTGTACCAAATGTAATGAAGACTGTGCACCCAAACCTGCCCAAAGCTCGACACAGTTTTACATTACATGTGTACATCACTACTGTTCAGAGTACTTCCCAGACTTCGCTCTGTGTACTCTCTCTCCCCTTTTTCGCTGGCACTCTCTGCAGTTGTGGTCTCTGCACGTCGCCCTGACGTTGTTGCGTTGGAAGCTCACAAAGTGTGAGCAGTGTTCATAGCCACACATCCATTCCTGGATGAAGCTTAGATACCCATCTATGGAAACCCGTCCACCAAGACGTATCCATAGCGATGTATCTACCCAATGCATTTCTCCCAACGCACTTTAAAGAAAGAGACCGACTCGCAGAGTGACGGAAAAGGGAAAATACCAGTGGTTCGAAAAATGTGGCCACTCGACTAGTGAAACCCTGGTCGTGGTGCCATCTATCCGTGTGTCCATCACGGGAAATCGCATCACTCCAATTACTTTTGGAGGGGATCCACTCAAAGTAAATCCAGCATCGAAGTGAAAACAAAAGAATATGAATCATGTGACTCATATGTTCGAGGTCAGGACTGTCTGATCTGCCTTTGATGAGCGCCATCAAAGCAGCAGTGTTGTCAATGTACCATGTGCCGCGGCGATTGCGGAATCACTCAGGTGTGGTAGTCAACGCAATGAGAACTTGCAATAGCTCTAGCTGTGCTATCTTGGCATCCCCTGGCGTCCATAGGTCATAGATGGATGAGGGGAGGTAGGACACAAACCCAAGCCGGAGCTCTACGTCCTCGTGGAAGAAGACAAGGAGAAAACCACCCGCGCCTTCACCTGGGGTCTCCAAGGCAGCGTCGGACGCTGCAACAAAGCGTTCATGGTGTCGTGGCCAGACATCAAGTTCACGCTCTGGATGGATAGAGATCACGGCCTCAAGAATCTGGAAGCATTGTTCAATTGCGGGAGTCAGCTGATCACCTCGGACAAGTTGGCGCTCCTTAATGGCATGGAGGCCTCCACATCCAATCCGTCCGTAGACGCCCTGTTCGAAGAAGTTGGCCAGTCCGTACAGCTTGGCTGCAACACCAGGCTTGAGAGTATGCGTCATTCATGGATAATGGCTTTCAACTTGGATTCTAGGCGTTCCCTCGCCCAAAAAGAGACGTAACCTCCTGACAGGGCGGCAGAAAGATCATGGTCCAGGCCTAAGAACAAGCCTTTGGGGTTCATAGCCTGGCGCTTCTCCTCCGCAAAGGGGGTGCCCAGAAGTTGGTTTAAGACTCCAAAGGCCCATTGAGCCGACCCCCGGCTCGAAGACCAGTCTTGAATGGAAGCATCGTCAAAGTAGAGCGAGACCAGGACGTAGCACAAACGCCGCCCGAGGGCTTCCACAAGCCGGCTGTATCGGTTAAACGAGGTCACGGCAAGAGGAAGACCAAAAAGCAGGCCAGCATAGACTTGGAAGGCTGGAGCAGCCCAGAAAGTGACTACACATCCTCGCGTCTCGTCGACCCCCATAGGACTGTGCCGATAGGCATCCGGCCAATCTTCCCCACCTGACTCCCAGGTGTCAGTAGCTGCCGCTTGGGCTAGTTCGGGTGGGCTCATATGGCGTAGGACTTGGCTGATGTGTTGGGCCGGTCTGAGGGGCGAGCAGAGCACCAGCTTGTTGGCATCGGATGACCGCAGGGTCTGTCCTCCAGCATCGGCGTTGTCGATAATACGCTGCTTACCCGAGGATTGGGTAATCACACATCGTGGTATCAAACGATACGGCTGCCCACGCAGCTGCTGACGCAACTGTGCCAGTGTCAGAGGGGGGGTACAGAAACCCCGTGCTGCATCCTTGGTAGACTGTTCCAGGAGGAACTGATCATCTTTACCCGGCTTGAGGGTGGACAAGATCTGGTGATTGCGCGCATCGCATCCCGACAGGACCTCTGTGAGAGTAATACGATCAGCAGATTGAGATGGAAAGACCCCGTAGCACGGCGCGTAGCCCACCGCTGGGAGGCCTTCAATAAGCCCGAATGGGTATGTAACATCAGGCCATGAAGTCAACAAGATCAACAGTGCAACGAAGCCTAGGTCTCGAGTGGCCGTGGTAGCCTGCAAGGCGACAGGTTGAAATTGCCGCAGATGTCGCCCTACGGCACACCAACGCCGATGGAGCTCCCGCAGCGCCCCCACTGCTGTACGGCGAAGATCGCGTAGACGGCCTCGGTAGCGAGTATATGGCAGTCAGCGGCAAATGCTAGGTCCAGGTCCAGGACTGCTGGCAACTCGGTGGGTAGCAAATCGCGGCCTCGCTCCAACGCTTGGGCGAAGTGCTCGTCCGGGCTGAGGTCGTAGGATAGCAGCGGCGGAAGTGCTGCGCGCTGGTTCAGTGCACCCACTTGCTGACCTTCGGCAGTGCGGAGAGTCTGGCGGACTTGAGCGTCGGCCAAATGTGGACCCAAGGGCCCATCGGTCTCATAGTGCCTGTTGTGCAGCCACACAGGGAATGCATTGAACGGGGCAGCATTGACAATATCCTCGACCATAGGAAACTGGAAATTCGTGAAGAAGTGGGCTGGGTACAGCTTGCGAAACGCTAGGATCAGGGCTTCCTGGCTCCACCAACGTGTAGGACTCGTTGGGAGGCCTTGCACCGTGCGGAGCAATCCCGCAGCAATAACTTGGCGTGCTGGTGGGGCCCCCCCCCTGACTGAAGCGGTGCATGGTCTGACGACCTCTCGGCTGGCTCGTCGCCGGGCTCAGGTGGATGATGTTCTCATCGAGAAAGGCAAGTTGCCGCCAAATCATGTCTACGTAGGCCAGGGCCGCGGCTCTCACCGTCTTGCGAAGATCAAATGGACCTCTCCGGTCATCCCAGGCCTGAACAGTCAGTCCAATGATTGGTTGTGGCACTACGTCGCCCATCTCTATGAATCCGGCCTGGTGAACGACCTCCATGAACTTCAGGGTAAAGTGCTTGTCTGCGACTGTCCTTTCTGTGATCCTTGTGAGGCAGATGTGCTTGCTGGCCTCTGTTTTGAGGGATCCAGGTCCAGCCAATGTTCGCGGGCTACGTGCAACTTAGCGCGACCCACGCGCCCGGCCCACCACGATGCTGCAACTGCAATAGCGAAGGCCAAGACGGCCGTGACTCGGCTTCCTCCTTGGATGGATAGATCGTCTGGCCGTCCTGAAGGTAAGGAGTCCACTCATGAGGTGCATGAGAATGGTGGCAGGTGAGCGGCGGCCGCTGGTCGATCTCGTCGATGTTGTGGCGGAAGCACTGTGCCTTGCAACGAGCTCCTCCAAGGCAACACGCATCATAGCGCTTGTCCTTCCAGCAACCAGTGTCCATCATAGAACACTCGGTAGACCCCCACCAATGTAGGCTGCGCCAAGGATTCTCTCGTACAGACCCTCCGCCCCGCTCGGCGAGCAGTCGAATCTCCTTGAGGATAAACTCACAGGCTTGGTTGTCTGCGCGGACTCGCTGAAGGTCACGTCCCTGGAGTGTGGGCAGTCCATCAGGATGTTGCTCAGAGCGCAGGGGTGCCGGACACGGGCGGCCATCTTCAAACCGCCGCAGAATTTCCCTGGCTCTGCTCTTGGTGGAACAGTCAAAAGCTGCACAGATGAAGTCAACCTCAGAAAGTTGGTCATGAAGTGCCTGCTGACGCAGCGGATTGGAAAGGTCATGGGACTTGTCCAACAGCCAGTCCACTGACAGGGTGCGCCACCCGCACCAAAGGAAGGCCTTGGATAGTGGCAGGTTGGGCCCACAAAATAGGTCGGCAACCAAGGGACGGGGCCCCATCATTTCTTCCCGCCACGACAGGCCGCAGCACCATGCCCAGGGGCTCCACAGGCACGCTCCTTGCGCAGGACCAAACCACAGCGATGCTGGCCGTTGGTGCAATTGGCTTTCGCCTTGCATTGGCCATGCTGGAAGGCCTGACAGAGGCGAGTTCCGTCTTTGAGGATCTTGGCCACCTGGCGCCCATTGATGGGATTGCCTAAGGTCCACCGATTGGCTTCAGACTTCACTGGGGTGACCGGATCTGGAGTGGATCTACTCGAGGTAGTTCCACTTGTGGTGATTGGGACCGACCAGTGGGCATCACGCATAGCATAGACTTCTTGGATCACACGGCCTAGGCTCTTCTGACTATCCCTAAAGCGGGCAACCCACTCCGATCGTTCATCATTGTCTCGCTGCTGTAGCCACACAAGGCGCTGGTTGAACGGGACCAGGGACGCACTCCTTTTGGCTCGATAGAAGTATTGTTGAATAACGTCCACCGGCACTTCAACATACTCCACAGAATTGGACCCCAAGCCCTCGGCTACGCTAGGGGCCGTGGCACAAGAGGCGGACCCCGCCATCGCATAGGCCAGAAGCAAGGTCCAGAGCTTGTCCAGGTAGGAGTTGGCATCCCGACTGGCAGGTTCGTCTTCCTCAGCTTCCTCAACATACAAAGAATCAGCGATCTTTCTTTTCTTTTGGGCGGTGGCCTGCTGGAATTGGAGAGATTTCACTCGCCAAATGTTGT